TACTGGGGATCGAACTCAGGTCCTTGCACTTGCAAGGCAGGTGGCAGACCCACTGAGCCAAATCCCCGGCCCTAACATATTAATGTTTCCACAGGCAGATCTCTTTCTCCAGTTTAATAGTATATATGTGTATATGTTCATATATTTTTTGTTTTCAAGAAAAATGAGATTCTATTGAATATGTCAATCTTCTTTCTTCTAAAACACCAGATCTTTAGCTGAGAATCACTGTGCTTTTAGAACATAAGACACATTATATTCTAGAAATATTGCTTTTTCCTTTAAATGTTATTGGTAATTCTGTATACTGCAGCAGTGTTTATATTTGATTCTTGATATGTTTTAATAACATTCATAGGACCTATTCTCTGTGTCTCTAAACTCCAGGAATTTCGCATGAAACTGAAGAAGCTCCAAGCTCCCAGTGTGTGAAGACACTTTTCACCTGGGCATCCTTCACTCAGTAAGACCTCACTGGCCAAAGCTAAAGACCATGTGATAGAATCAGGGAGGAGACATTTTGGCATATACTTAGGAACAAGGGAAGGCAGAGAGATTTTGTTAGAATTTCATTCTTCTGTAGAGTTCAAATGGATTGGGAAGGAAGTATTAAGTTTTACACATGGCAAATTTGTTGTATTTCATATATTACTTCATTGAATGAATAGTTACTGATGGCCTGATATGAAACCACCATTCTTTTATTATCTGTGCATACATTAGAATACAGTGGATGGGTTTGGATAGATGACTGGAGAGAGCCTAATTTATGATACAGTGTGGATTAGGCATTTCTTTGCCTTTCATCAAGTGCGACCTTCAGATAAACCCAATTGAAGCAACCCAATATCTATTTCTGTGATTCTAGGGGCAATATCAGAGACTTTCATGAAAGGCCTTGAGTGACTGAGCTGCTTACCATTAGTCTCACTGCAGATAAAGTAACAGTGGCAGAGATCAAGAAAATGGCCTCCTAAAAATCACACTGAGCTTTTCTCATCCTCTGCCAGTTTCCTCTCTTGAGCCTCAGTCACAGCTACTTTCAGCCTGCCTGAAAGATTACTGAGTTGTCTTGAAGCCAGTGTGTAGGGCAGTGTTGGTTATACATGCTAGCTCTTAAAACTCAGGCTGCCTCCATTCCAAGTCTCTTTCCAGTCAACAATGCATGAAGAACAAAATGGATTCCAAAGACACAGGGCCACTGTTGTTATATATAGATGGTGCTTCTCTTGGGAGGGATAATTGGGTTGAAGACAGAAATGGACTAGCAGGAACACTTGAGAATGCCCTTGGGCCCCTTCTTTTCACCTATGTTTGTTATCTACAGGGTCTTTGTACCTTCAAAGCAACTACAAGACAAAGAGGAAGCCAATGTGAAGCCCAGAGAGTGACAGGATAGATCCACTTTCCAGTCTGAACAAAAGATGTCCAAGTTTGCCCACCTCACAAAGATCACCTTTTGTCAGTGGTTTTCTGATCCTAACTAATAATAAAGAATATACACTTGCCTGATGTGTCTGCTGTGTAGTGTGTATCACAGGGTGGGTTTGCTTACTGGCAACTTAAATCTTAATCTTCCCTCCGTCCCATTAAGGTGAAGGAAAGTTCAATCTCATTCACTATTGGAGGGCCCCTCTTTTCTCACAAGTTACCCAAGGACTGCAGCCACTTCTGTGGGGCCTTAAATCCATCACGTTTTTCCTGCTCCCCTCACTATCCAAGTCAACATGGTTCTTTGAAGGTGGGTATGTCTGCTTATCCAGGGCTGGTGGGGCACAGGAAGTGAGGTGCAAGGGTGGGAAGGTGCTTCTGCCTAGGTTGGAGACCTATGCTGGGGGCAGAGGGCAGCCTCCCTCTATGTACCAAAAAGCCCATTTCCTTAATGATTTGTCTCTGAGATACCCTAATGTCCCATGGGCAGAAATTTTCCTCTTACCTTCCAAGGCACTATTCCCTCCCTCCTGTGCATAATCCTAAGGTGCTCAGTATTCTGGAAAGCAGCCAGGCTGTCACTGCTCACAAGACTAATATTCTATGAGGCTACGGAGAGTGGAGGTGGGGTACTTGAATGGTGTAGGATCAGGAATGGGACAGAAAAATTAAAGTGACTATGTTTCATTAGCATTCTTGCTTCCCTTAGAGTTACAATTATTAAGAGGGCCTTACTTACTTGGGAGGGGAGTGCTAGAGCAGAAGGGGTCTGTTATGGCTTGTGTTTACATGTCTCCCCAAAGCCTCATGCATCATTGGTGGGGCTTTTTCAGAGGTAGCTGGATCTAGAGTGTGTGACTGATTCTTGATGCAATGCTAGGATTAAGGACACTTGGATTAAAGGCATGTGGTTACTAAATTAGTCCACTGATTGGTTTGGCACGCACCCAAAGCCAGGTGCTGCTATGGTCACTTGCTTGCTTTGCTACCTTCTGCCCGCCATGAACTGTTTCTCTTCTGAGATACCCGTCTGGCATGCCATCCTGCCTTGGAGCCAAATGGTTATGGGCTGAAACCTCTACTAACTGCAAACTAAATAAACCTTTGCTCCTTTAACTTTGGGTGCCAGGTGTTTTGTCTCAGCAATGAGAAAAGTAACTAAGATAGGGTCCATCAAAAATATCAAGCCCAAAACTATGCTGTCTGGATTGGGAGGGGGTTGTGATATTCTTGTATGTACTGATAGCCCCTTGGAATTTAGGGAGATGTGACACAATGTCATTTAAATGTGATTCTCAATATATGGTTCCTGGACCATCAACATCAAGATCATCCCCAGGAACTTGTTACAAAAGCAAGTTCTCAGGCACCATCTCAGATCCGACTTCAGACATTCTGGAAGTGGGGCCAAGCTGGTATTTCTGATACATGCTTAAGTTTGAGATCTTTTGTTTTAATCCATAGAGTACTGTCAATAAACACTCTAGATCTCACCATATGGTTGGTCCACTTCGCCTTCACAATATACTCTGAGGTCCACTGAAATATCTGTGTTTATATATCTTTATATATATCTTTAGGTAGTGTTTATATATCTTAATATGATTACCTCGTATTTCAGGACTATTTGTCTTAGTCACTTTCTTATCATTGGGACACAATGTCTGACACTCACAATTTAAAGGAAAAGAGGTTTATTTTGAGTCATGTTTTTAATCTGTGGTTTGCTGGCTCCAAGGAAGGAAGGCATGGTAGAAAGGTCTGAGCAGAGGAAAGCTGCTCACCTCATGGTGCCAGGAAGCAGAGTAAAGTGAGGATCCAGCAAGGGAGATATACCCTTCTAGGTCACATATCCAGTGACCTGCCTCTTATAATCAGACCCCCACCTCCTATCAGTAAATCAGCTGTACCACTCTCATAATCCAATCACCTTTTGAAAGTTTTGCCT